AGTAGAAAAGTAGTTCAGGTTTTCCTGACAACTGCTGGCCAGTTCTCAGAAGTTCCAGGTGATTAGGTTATAAATCCTGCCTGATGGCTACAGTACACATCATATTATCTTAAAGGTTGCTTTAAATTTGGGTGATTCTAAGAGAGACTTGAATTTGGAAATCACCTAGGTCAGGCAACAACAACAAGATTTAAGATTTTCTCTGAGCTGAAGATGGCTCCATATTAAAAAAAAAAAAAAACCTTTCCGATTAGCCAAAGGATACACTGATGATCTCATCCAAAACATGTACATAGTGAGATGCCATTAAAATGGATTATGTGAATGCATATAAGTATTAATAATGCCATTTGAAATTCTACTATGGAAAAGATTTATCTCTATAATCTAGGGTGAAAGGTCCTTCCTGCTAATGTTAACCTCAACTCACAGATCCTATAATGATTCACCTCTAGGGCCACAAATAAGACTATCTACATAGATGGTTAAAGCTGAAGTCCTATATTCATTTGAAGCTGGAGTGGACAAATAAGGGCTGGCATAAATGAACTAATCACGAGAAAGCAAAACACTGCTGCCATTAGCCTGGAACGGGACATTAAGTGAAAAGACAATGACAGCCCTCCACAACCAACAATAGCAAACCCTGGGGAAGATGAAGAATCTGATTCCTAGGGTTACCACACTCTAATGTTTAAAATGCTCAGTTTCAACAACAAAAAAATTACAAGGCATACAAAGAAACAGGAAATTATGGTCCATCCATGGGGAAAAAATGATAGGAATTACATGAGAGGAAGCCCAGACATTGTACTTATTAGACAAAGATTTTAACCATCTTAAGATTCAGGAGGTCTAGGTTCAAGTGCTGCCTTTGTCACCAATTCTCTACATAAGTAAGCAAGTCACTTCCATTCTCTGGATTTATGTCTCCTCAAAATTTATACAATGAGGAGCTTGGGCTGATCACTGGTCACAAGCTGGGACTTGGAGAGACAATTTAGACTACAGATATGTTTCATTTGTCCCTCAGAGTGTTTCTTTAAAAAAAGTGAATCACTGGTCAACATTTAAAAAATATGGAGATTTTTACATAAGATCCAATTTCTGGATTTTCTTGAAAAAAACTGGAAGATATCAAGCTACTAGACTTTCCTTCTTCTTAAACCCTACCTCACCAATAAGCACCATCCAAATTACTTTTGTTCACTTTAGATTGCATAGATTTTCCAACTGGATGCAGAACCAGACATACCCTAGTCTCAAATTGCTTTACTCAAATAAATTAGTGGCCTAGACCTTATAAACATTTAAGTTGGCCACTGCTGACCAAGATAAGTCTTTTCAGCTGTAAATCTACTATGAGTGTAGGCTTTCATACAAGTGAAAATCCTTCCCAAAATGTAGCCAAGAGACTCTACATAATTAAAATCCAAGTAACACTCTGAAACAGTGAGCTTCCCTATAACAGGAGTTTTATTTCTGTGACATCTGATCTGTACAATTGCAAGGAATGACAATAATGACCTGATTAGCTCATCCTTTCATCTTCTGCCTCAAGTCTGCCCAGAAACCAGATAAATCTAGAATTTGAGGAAACAAGGAAAATATATGCTGATGGCATCTGAATGGGCTCTTTACTTTCTGACCCAAACCATGCTTTATCACACAGACTTCACGTGTCCTGTACTTATCCTGCCCTCAGTGGGCAATAAGTCCTCCCCAGGCCATGGCTCAGAGTCAGAAACAAAGCTGCATTTTACACAGTGACAAATTAAAAAAGCCTGAATGATGTGAGATTAGGGAACAACTTATAAAAGGATGACTACCACAGGGGTGGGATCTGCTACATCTAGTACTTTCATATGCCAGCAGTCTGCTTTCAGCTCCCAGGGAGGAAATCAGCCCAGAATAGCAGCTGGAGATGTCAACAGCTAGATATGGGGACCAATGTTCAGCAAGCTGTAATTTACATAACCTAATCAACTGCTAGTAAGGTACATCAACTCCTGCAATGTTCTTGTGAAGCTTTATCCCAAGTTCAGAAGGAAGAAAATCTGAGAACACACATGAATGCACACATACACACACATACACACACACACAGAATAAAAGTCTGAACAATAGGAGAGGCAGATATTTGACTGTGTAGAAGACACAACTAGCAATTTCTTGTAAAGCAGCCAAAATGGTATCAAAATTCCTAATTATAGGAAACCAACATACCACAGGTCACAAAGGATTTTCACAAGACTCAATTATCCCCAGTTTACAAGGAAGAAAACGGAGTTTCAAAGATGTATAAGAAACTGCTCAAGTTGCACATTTAATAGCATAACTGAAGAAAGAATCTGGGTTTCCTACAAAAGTAAAAATAAACTATCAGGACTTCATCAAAATAAAAGGCTTCTGCATAGCAAAGGAAACAATCAACAAAACTAAAAGGTGACTTGTAGGGTTGGGAGAAGATATTTTCAAATGACATATCTGATAAAGGGTTAGTATACAAAATATATAAAGAACTTATAAAATTGAACACCCAAACAACAAATAATCCAATTAAAAAATTATCAGAAGACAGGAATGGACATTTTCCCAAAGACATACAGATGGCAAACAGACACATGAAAAGATGCTCAATATCACTGATTATCAGAGAAATACAAATCAAAACTACAATATGATATCATCTCACACCTGTCAGAATGGCTAAAATTAACAATACAGGAAATCACAGGTGTTGGGAAGGATGTAGAGAAAGAGGAAACCTCTTGCATTGTTGATAGGAATGCAAACTGGTACAGCCATTCTGGAAAACAGTAAGGAGGTCCTCAAAAATAGAGGAACTACCCTATAATTCAGATGCAGTGGTAGATAGTAACCAAAAGGATACAAAATCAGTGATTGAAAGGGATACATGCACCCTGATGTTTATAGCAGCATTATCAACAACAGCTAAACTATGGAGAGAGCTCAAATGTCCATCAAATTATGAATGGATAAAGAGGATGTGGTGTGTGTACGTGCGTGTGTGTGTGTGTGTGTGTGTAAACAGCATACTACTCAGCTACAAAAAGTGAAATCTTGCCATTTGCAATGATGTGGATAGGGCTAGAGGGTATCATGCTATGTGAAATAAATCAGTCAGAGAAAGACAAATACCATATGATTTCACTCATATGTGGAACTTAAAAAACGAAACATATGGCCATATGAGAAGGGGAAAAACAAACAAACAAAAAGATGAGAGGGAAACAAACCATAAGAGTCTCTTTATGATAGAGACAAACTGAAGGTTGATGGGGAGGAGGTGTGTGAGAGATGGTCTAGATGAGTAATGAATATTGAAGAAGGCACTTATTGTGATGATCCCTGGGTGTTGTATATAAGTTATAAGTCACTGAATTCTAGTCCTAAAACCAATATTGTGCTGTATGTTAACTATCTAAAATTTAGAATTTGAAGACTCTGATGGAAGATGTCATACAGATAGAAGAAAAAGGATTGGATATTTCATTTGGAGATTCTCAGGATCAGAGGATTAGAAATCATTTTGTTTACTTCTCTGCTTTTGAATACTGTCTTCATCTAAATCATTCCAACCAGATAACAGTGTTTTCTGGGTTTACAGCCCTCCAAGGAAGGAAGTCTCTTTTAACCATTAAGATCTTTTGGGGCTAATACGCTGGTGACAGTGACCATGAGGAGGATAATGATGGTGATAAAACAAGTTATCATTTGCCAAGTACTCACTGTGTGGCAAGAACTGTGCTAATCACTTTACTCCTTTGTGTGATCTCATTTAATCATCATAAAAATTCTGTTATCCTTATTTTTCAGATGATGAAATCAAAGTTCAGGAAATTGAAAATTTTGCCAAAAGCAATGGAGTTGGGAAATAGTAAAGCTGAAATTGCACTTTGAGTTGTCTAATTCCGGGAATAACCTGCTCCTTCAATTATGTCACAATGTCATCATTGAAGTCTTGTGGGCTTTCATCTTCCAAGAGCCCAAACCAATCTGATCTTTTGTTGGACATCAGATATCTTACAGAATAAACTAACAAAAGGTGATAGGCTATAGTAAAGATGATCATAAAACATCCTGATATAGCTTTGGTACTTCTACTGCCAAAGTTGCCACCATGTGAATTATTTCATTCACTGTGATATCCACTGGCATGAAAGAATTATCAATACCATTTTGTGAATGGGGGAAAAATCACACCAGGCCAGTGCTCTTACATCATAGCATCCTGCCAATTGGTGACCCAGAGGGAGCAGAAATTGCTAAGTAACCTTTTCTCAAGCGCCCCTTCTATTAGGGGCTAGGTTCTTCATGGTGCACTGTCAAAAGGGCCAAGGTCTTACAAGCATCAAGCTGCCCGCTTCCCAACCCTCAACACATTTTAGATCCCAGTTACCTGACTCAAAGTAAGATCTGCAGTCAGTAAACTGTAGCCCCTAGAGGGTAGGGAGCCCACACTCATACATTAACATCTGAAGACAACACACAGGGGTGTTCATACTTCCCTAATAAGAGAAAGAAGGCAAAGCAGACAGAGGAATAAGGAGGGGAAGGAAAGAGAGGGATCTATAAAAAGAAAGAACAAAAAAGGGGAGACAAGGAAAGTAATAAAAGAAAAGAGATAAGAAAAGTAAGTTCAAAGCAATATAGAGTTAAAAGAGTCTTCAAAAACCATCCAGACCAAAAGGGAACTGATTTGTACAAAGTCACAACACGTCAGAGTCAGGAGGCAGAATATGGGGATTGTTAAATTAAATAAGGGGGAAAAAAAAGAAAAGAAAAGACTCAAAATTAGAAGGGAAAAGATTAAAGAAGGCCTAAGTCCTGGGTAAAAGACAAAAACAAAAAAAGGTAGGGGGAATGTGAGAGGAGCCACCGGAAGAGAAATGAGCAGAAAAACAGAGGCTGGTGAGGGGAAAGCCATGGGCAGGTAGCCAAGGAGACAGGAGAGGAGAGTGAAGGCTGACACTCACCCTCACAAAGCTGGCAGGAAACCATCCCTCCTCATCGTCGATCTGGCCCCACCACCAATCCTTGTTGGAAGCATCCAAGACTTTGATGACGTCGCCAGCTTTAAATGCCAACTCCCGGTTGGCCATGGTGACGTGATCCCATACTGCCTCAGCACTAACGATGGAATCTCCAGTGATCAGCTTAGGAGACAAAATGAGAATGTGTTCAGTCCACACAGCTGGCTACCTTACTTGCACTTTACCCCACCCACACAACTCTACTATTTATGGAAAAGCTGACATATTAGTGGTGAAGGGCTGGGGAGAGGGAGATGGCACTGGGAGCACAAGCTCCACTGGACCACAAGACAAACAATACTTGTCAACTTTCCATTAGCCAGTGGGTGGGATGACCCAGAATGTGAATATGGACTACACAGGCCTCATGCTTTTATTCCTACTCATAAGCTCCTTCCCCAGAGAAGAAAGAAGGTTCCAGTGCATCTTCCCTTGGTGCTTCAAGGCAGTCCTAGGTCTGGAATGGATGAAGAGGTTGAAATCAAAAGCTAAAATGAAGCTCAAAAATATTTGTTCTAAATTCTCTGTGTTCCTCCCCTTTTTCTCCTCCTCGTTGGAAATGACCAATTGAGAATTGGTGTTACATTATTTAACACCACTGTACCCCACCCCCAAAGGGTTACAGACCATGGCATTCCTCACACACAATGGACTCCAGTACTGCAGACTCTTTTTCTCACCCACACATTATGCCATCCAGAGAAGTCATGGGTATGAAAGAATATGGCTTTCTGTGATGCCTTACTCAACCTTGGCACAGATTTACTCAGTGATTTTTTTACCACCACCCTGTGAGATACATATGGAGTCTAGGTTGAATCCTGCATTTGATAGATGGCATAACTGAGCCATAAGGAAGTTAAAGAGTGAGCTCAGGATCACCCAGCAAGGCAGGGGCTGTGCAAAGACCTTAACCCTGGTCATTAAACTTTGTGACCAGCAGGACTGGGCTACACACAACAACAGGAAGACATCTATCCCAGTGCCATGTCACACACACACACACACACACACACACACACACACTCATAACATTCGCCTAAGCATAGTGATAAGGATAAGGGTGGGGGAATAGTCTGTCTCTTTCTGGGTGCCATCCTGACCCCTGTGTTGTTCGTTTTCCTTTTTCCCCAATTGGTTCCAGCCTATATAGGCCATCAATCTTCCTAGCATTTAGAGAAACAGATCCCAGAACAGAGAACATATGGCCTGTCGAGGCAAAAGATTTAAGAACTTTTCCCTTAGAACTAAATTTCTGAATATGTTGTCTAGAAGTCAACTTTTCCATCAGTCTGCTTTGATGAAGGACTGATTCCCCAAGGTAACTGTAGCTCCACAAGACCAAAGGCAACAGTTCAAAGACAACAGAGACAGAATATGTAACATGCATCCTCTCACATAGGTCTGCCTTTCAATATACCAACTGAAGAATAACCCTATGGTCATGAAATTAACACATAACACATTACATACATAGGAAAATACACCCCATACTGAATTTGACTTAGTTAAGTCATTCTGTTGGTCAGGTAAGGCATACTGGGAGCTCCGCACCATGGATGCAAACAAGATTTCCAACAGGGCTTTTATAACACCCCTTTCAATGACCTCATGCTTCACTATTTACAAAAATATATTCATATCTACTGTATCACTTAATCCTTACTGAATGACTACATCTCACTATTACCCATATATTTTTCAAAGATTTTATTTATTTATTCATGAGAGACAGAGAGAGAGAGAGAGAGGCAGAGACACAGGCAGAAGAAGAAGCAGGCTCCATGCAGGGAGCCCGACATGGGACTCGATCCCAGGTCTCTAGGATCACACACTGGGCTGAAGGCAGTGCTAAACCGCTGAGCCACCCAGGCTGCCCTATTACCCACATTTTAAAGATAAGGGAACTGAGGCTCAGAGAGGTGACCTGTCCTTTGTCCAGTCATACAAATAAAAAATTATGGAGCCTGGCCTTCTGACTGCATATGCTCTAACACCCATGATACTACCAATGTCTACTCATTAGCTATACTGAATTCATAGAACTCCATCCCTAATATTACAAAGCAGATGACTCCTATTCATAGGGAACTACAGAGAAGGAGATATGGACAGCCACCTTTAGCCCACCAGTGGCCCTGTCTATGAGATTTTTTTTTATGTTGAAATTGCTTTCTTCCAATTGCACTAAAAGTCAATTTCTTCTTGTTCTGGCCTCAGTGGAGAATTGCTGGTTACTGGTCTCAATAAAATAAATCTCCATAAAGAAAATCTCCCTCTCCTGACAGATATGTTCCAGCTGGTGTTGTTAGAGTTCAATAAGAATATACAGCCCCGGGCAGCCTGGGTTGCTCAGTGGTTTAGCGCTGCCTTCAGCCCAGGGCATGATCCTGGAGACCCGGAATGGAGTCCCACGTCGGGCTCCCTGCGTGGAGCCTGCTTCTCCCTCTGCCTGTGTCTCTCATGAATAAATAAATAAAATCTTAAAAAAAGAATATACAGCCCCAACTCACAACACCATGAAGGCTTATGGCTTAAATCTATATCCTCGACTTTTTACCAAAGGTCAAGCATATTTTAATATCAATTACCAATCCTCTGCTCATGATGCTACCTGTGATGCTGTCTGAGGTACTCTAGGCCCAGGTCTGGCTGATTTCACTGTCTGTGCTCTTTCTACAGTACAGTCATCTTTTTAGCAATTTTATGTTCAGCTTTTCTCAAGAGCAGTTGGCTCACTCGTGTCCCCATTTAGTCCAGCTGACCTGCCTGGGCCCTCAGATCACAGAGCCCAGCTATACACTAGACAAGGCCAATCTAGGATCCAGTGGTCATAAACCAATTGTAAACCTATTGTCAGGGCCTACATAGAATCAAAGACAGTAAGAATTGGACAGCATTTCAAAGACCATCACCCATAAGCCTTCATTCTATAGATCAGGTATGATATAGCAGGAGTAACTTGCCTACAGTCATACGATGGCCAGCTTCCTGGACCACTGTTCCCCCAAAGTAACATCATAGATAGAGAAGGTAGAAAAGAACACTTGGATTTAAGACCTTCCTCTGCTACTTGCTAAAGGTGTAATGATAATGATGATGATATTAGTCAATATAGAGTATTGCTCTATGTCAGGCACTATTCCAAGCACTTTACACACATTAATCCATTAAAGCCTCACAGAAGCCCTTTGAGGAAATAATATTATTATTCCTATCTTATAGATAAGGATACTGAAGCTCAGAGAGATTAAATAATTTTCCCAAATTTACATAGAAAGTAAGTATTAAAGATATAATTCAAATGAAGCTACAGTATGGCTTTAGAGTATCTGCTCTTATAAACTATGGTGCCATTGGGTCAGTTTCTTTATTTTTTTTAAAGATTTTATTTATTTATTCATGAGAGATACAGAGAGAGAGGCAGAGACACAGGCAGAGAGAGAGAAGCAGGCTCCATGCAGGGAGCCCGACGTGGGACTCAATCCCGGGTCTCCAGGATCATGCCCTGGGCCGAAGGCAGATGTCAAACTGCTGAGCCACCCAGGCATCCCGGATCAGTTTCTTTACCTGTTAAACATGGATAATTCTACATATCTACCTGTTTCCATTTTAATATACTAAACCTAGACTTGATGGATATGTGTGCAGACATGAAAGAAGGGCTAATACACGAGAGAAGGAGTTGTATGGGGCTCCTGTGCTCTTCAATCACAAACAGAAGCAGGAATAAGGGGATACTACTCACCCATCCTCTGGATTGTTTTAACAGTGAATTAAATCTGGGTTTGAAATTGGTCTCAAATCTCCCTTTTTTTGTACAGGATTGACTTAACTTGTTATGGTTTTTAAAATAAATATGCACTTTGCTCATCCATTTTCCATCCAACACTCATTCAGTGACCCCCACTATCTATATACAGGAGTCTTCTTACTGTGATTCAGACACAGTCCACAACTGAAGATCAAAGACCCTTCAAGAACCAACAGTGAATGTCTTTCAAGCAATATGCAAATATGGTTAAGACAAGCAAAACTAGCTTCAATTCTTGGCTTTTCTACCTTAGAAAGTAACAGTGACAATGGGAGGTGAGGAAAGGAAGAGCCAGAGAAACAAACCAAAAAGGAACTTTCAGCATGTAATCAGGATACCGAGAAGTGCAATATCACAGAAGCCAAGGACAATAGTTTCAAGCTATACAACCCTGGGCTTCAGTTTCTTTATAGACAAAATGGGGATAATACCTGCCTCAGGGTTGTAGAGAGGGTAAACTGAGCACTAGATATGCAGTGCCTACTGCAGCGCTTAGTATATGTTGGCCTAGTACAAGGCTTCAGAGGAAGGGAGTAATATATGTGCCTATTGGGCTCTAGAATGATTGTGTGGGACACTGAAGATAGATCTTAAAAAATGGGTAGGATTGTAACAGATAGAGGCATTTGAGGCAGAGAAATGAGGAGTGAGACTACAAAAGTTCTCAAAGGTAAGGACTACAGGTAATTTGATAGCAAAGAGGTAATAGAGTTTGGAAAGGGCTGGGAAGAGGGGCTTGGGGTGTGGGAAGGAAAGCTTGAAAGGTAGGCAGGAGTTCTGTTTGAAGGCTCTAAAATTTAATTTGAGGAAAAGGAAGAAATCAAAGTTGATTTAGGGGTGGAGGAGGTGTTTCAAGTCAAAGTGTGATGATTAAAGCATGAGGGTAAACTACACAAAGAAATGCTCATTTGGGAGGGTAAAAAGAGGTGACAAATTTTCTCTTCAATGTGTTGAATATAGGGGGCCAGAAGGACATGAAGGCATATTTGAAGTTCAAGATATGTCAGGAGAGATAGTTGTATAGGTTTTGGAATCAATGGCCCAGAAATTGTGGAAATAAAGGAAGTTTGCCCTGGAACAAAGTGCTAAGAAAGAAGACCCAAAACCTAGGGAAACAACAACAATGAGAGGTCAGGAAGAGAAGAGAAGCCAGAGAAACAACCCAAAATGAAGCTTTTGGTACATAAGTAGGACACCACGGAGTGTAATCTTGCAAAGGTGAAGGACAAGAGTTTTAGGTAGCTGGAGCTGATATTATTGAATGGTACAGAGCTATAAAAGGAAGAAAGCCAAGAAAAGGCCATTTGAG